GACTCAACGAGACTCAGATGAAAACAGCAGCCAGTTCATATTCGCTTTCCTTTTTCTGTGGCTTTGTGGATAGCCTGCTATTTTTAGCAGATGCCACCACCCCCACTGGGGTGACAGGGGTCGCCCTCTTCACCCTGCCCCTCAGGAGCAAGCCTCCAGCTTCTAGGAGAGGAGTTGGATCCTGGGGCAGCGGCCCGGGGTCTCTGTGCAGTGTCCTACCGCGTTGTCATCATTATGCTGTTTGACAACATGTCTACGCTTTGCCAGGCGAAGTTCTGCTTTGTTTTTTACCAGGGACCACAGCCTGCCTCACTGATGAAGCGGTGTACTCAGTCACTGCTCCAGTCTGGAGGCAGGAAGGCCCCTCATCAGGCAATAGCGACGTTCAGAGGTGGAGAGACTGGACTGTAAGAGCCGTGACCTAATCACGGGATTAATCCATGAACTGAATGGACGACTGGCCACTGAAGACAGGAGGGGCACCAAGGGAGGAAGCAGGTCCCTGGCCCCTTCCTTCTCAGCTGCTGTGAGCCGGGCACCTTCCCTCCTCCACGCCTTCCCGCCATGACGTTCTGCCTCACCCCAGACCCAAAGCAATGGAGCAGCCAGTCATGGACTGAGCCTCTGAAACCTCGAGCCAAAGTAAACTTTTCCTCCCCTCAGTGGTTCATGTCAGGTATTTTGGTCACAGTGACAAAAAGCTAACAGTCACCAAACCTCACAGCTCCGTCCCATGCATGAGCTACGTGGGTGGCACAGAGAAACACAAGTCACAGGCTCTGCCTCGGTGACACACAAGAAAGCTGAGGGGCCGAGATGAGGCCACAGACTGGAAGAGGAGTAAGACCGGAGAGAGGTCAGTATCTGCAGCACACACCGGGGCTCAGGTGCCATGTCTGGAGTCTGGGCACTCAATGCCGTCACAGGGCACCCTATGCCACCACAGGGCACCCTATGCCATCACAGGGCGTTCTATGCCATCATAGGGCACTCTATGCCACCACAGGGCACTCCATGCCATCACAGGGCGCTCTATGCCGTCACAGGGCACTCTATGCCGTCACAGGACACTCTATGGCATCACAGGGCACCCTATGCCACCACAGGGCACTCTATGCCGTCACAGACCCACCGGGCAGGACGGATCCTCCTCCTAACTGAGCCTGGTTCAGTGCAACACTGAAGCTTGCTGAGGATAGACCATGGCACACGTCACTGTGACTCCATCGCTGAGGTGAAATTAAAACCATTACCATAAAAAATGGCAAATGTTGCATTAAACAGCAGCTCAGCGCCCCCGCCCAGCTCCAGTGGAGGGGAGTCTTGCAGAACAGGAGGTGGAGGAACACCCGCCGCCCACTGACTGGGATTCTGGACCAGGGGACGGAACTGGAAGGAGCTGCCCCAGGGCACCCGAGTTACCTGAGGTCCCTGAAGGCTGACACCAAGGTCTCTCTCTCCCTCTTGTGGGAAAGGAACTTCACCATGAAGGCGCCCTTGTCAGAAGTGAGCTATTTCCTCATAATGATCCTAATATTTTTTAAAACACTGTTTTAGTTGTAGCTGGACACACACCTTTGTTTTGTTTGTTTATTTTTTTGTGGGGCCGAGGATGGAACGCAGGGCCTCGCCCGGGAGGCAATCGCTCTTCCGCTGGGCCCCAGCCCCAGCCCTCAGAATGATCCTTCACAAAGGGGCTTTGGTGGAAAGCAAAACCCTGTGACATGGGTGACATCAACTCCAACAGACAAGCCACCCTCATGGCCACGGCGGACAGACCTCTCTCAGGGTCCTCCAGGTGGACTGCCTCCCCTGAAGAAGGGCCAGTAAGGCTCAAGGGCCACACTCACTAAACCCAGGGGCAGGTGAGCGAGGGAGGTGCCCGCAACACCGCAGCCCCCCGCCTCCCGGAGGCCTCAGGACGGACACTAGCGGTGAGCTTCCCTCGCCTCCTCCTCCACTTTGGCAAGAGACCTGTTGTGACTGGACTGAGGCGTCCCCCCAAAGCTCCTGTGTTCGTTTTGGGAAGGTTTAGCGGTGAGACGATCAGATCTTGAGAGCTGTGACCTAAGCGCCCATCCCAGTTTGAATGGTGACTGTGGGCAGGTGGGACGTGGCTGGAGGAGGACGTCACTGGGGGTGAGAAACTGATGAGACTCCATTTCTGAGAAACCAGCTCCTCCTCAAGGCCTGTCCAAGGAGAGGACATGACCTTGTCCTTGGAAAGACCCACAGAGCCTTCTAGGCACACACCCACCCTGCTGAGTGGTTTCTCTAGTAACAGGAGAGGTCTGCTGTGCCAGGTGTCCCTGACTCAGGCTAGGTGGGGAGCCATAGCCACCCCCTAGCAACCTCCAATCAGCATGAATCAGGGAAAATACCGGGGATGCCAGGTGACCCCCCAGTAGTTTATGGAGGTTGATAACGTGTTGGGAAACCATGTAGTTCAGCACGTACACCCCTCGTGGCCTAAACCAATCAGTTCAAAGGAACCCCCCTCTTGTACTAGCCAATCACCCCTACCCAACTTGTTCCCGCCACTGAATGTGCTGACCAATGTTAAGAGTCGCTGTTTGACTTTCCCATGGAATGGAATGATTTGCTGGGTGATATTGTGACTCATGGAGTATCCCCCCAAAACCTATAAAACCTCACTGGACAAAGGACCGGGACTCACTCCCTGGGACCGCTGCGTTGGAAACAGCTGTGGGTCCAGGCTGGAGCTTGCAGTAAAGACTCTTGTGTGACTGCATCGGATTCGGCTCCTGGAGGTCTACTGGGGTCCCACGAATCTGGCATGACAGGGGTTTCCCTGGAAGGGCTCATTTCCCTGTCCCCTCCCCCTCCCTCTCTCTGCTCTGCAGGCGCCATGAAGGGAGCTGCTGTCCTCTGCCACTGCCTTCTGCCAAGGGCCCAGAGCAACAGAGTCGGCCAACCACGGCCTGAGCCTCTGAAGCCACGAGCCAAAATCAGCTTTTCCTCCTCCGAGTTGTTCTTGTCAGGTATTTTGGTCGCAATGACAAAAAGTTGACCGACCCAAGACTCTGCAGCTGAGCTCACTGCCTCCAGTCAGACTCAGTCAAGGGACACCCACCCCGTGATCCAGCCAGGTACGCTAGGACAACCAGATGAGACCCTAGTGAGTCACAGGAGGCTGAGTTCTGCTGCTGCAGCAATGTGACCACGGAGGTCCCTCCCTCCAGTCCCTCCCTCCAGTCCCTCCCTCCAGGTCCCTCCCTCCAGTCCCTCCCTCCAGGTCCCTCCCTCCAGTCCCTCCCTCCAGGTCCCTCCCTCCAGTCCCTCCCTCCAGGTCCCTCCCTCCAGTCCCTCCCTCCAGGTCCCTCCCTCCAGTCCCTCCCTCCAGGTCCCCAGTGCACTTAGGGCAAACGCATCCTCACTGAGGCCGCCCTGGGGGAAGGGGCAACAAGGCTCTGACATCTCGCTGCACAGCCTGCTCCCACATCAAAGTGCAGAGGAATCGCCTCCACCCACCGCCTCAAGGCTGAGAGGTGGCGTCCAGCCAGCGGTACTGAGGACAGTCACAGACTGCCTCTGCAGGCCAGAACCCAAAGCCCTCCCTGTGTCCTCCTGGCTTTTACCCTCATCAGCATTTGCTCCCCTTCATGAAACCACTGGAGCAGCCTCACTTTTCTGAAAACATGGAGCACAAAACCTGCCACCTCCCAGCTGAACGTCACCTCGTTTATCAGACCCACTGGGCAACAAGCTGTCCTTTAAAAGCTCTTTGGCCAGGGACCATTACATGAGTGCAAGGACCCACGGTCTATTTAACTCCCACTTCTGCTCTGGAGTGGTGGGGCCTCACTGTGGGCAGCACAGCCTGTTGCCTAGAATGGTCGGGAACTCCCTGGCTCCAGCCGTCCTCCAGCCCTGGCCTCCCCAGTGGCTGGGACCGCAGGCGCACATCCGTGCCCAGCTTATCCGACCATTATCGATGGAGTCTCTCTAAAGTACATCACAGACACTCGTACTTTTCCAAACAAAACACAACACCAACAGCTTCATTGGATGGCCTGCCCCGCAATGCTTGCCCTCCTGGGAGGTGACATTCAGGAGAATCACGAAAGACATGTATCTCGTGTTCTCAGCAGCGCTCCGTTTCAATTTCCTGGCGATGTGGGCGTGCTGCGTGGCTCTCCACGGGGCCCCACCCCTGAAGCCGTATCCACTTGGTCTCCAGCAGTGTAGGGCTGACACAGTCCTGCAGGTGGCTCTGGAATGAGAGCCCCTCTCAGGCTTAACACGGATTGCCACTCTGGGTGGCACACAACAGTGCGGAAGCTGCTGCAGACTCTGAGTGTCCCCTGGGCTGAGGAGACCATCACCAACTCCTTGCACACACCCAGTGCCTCACAGACCAAGCGCCTCCCAGGGGCTGTCTGCGTAGAATGTGTCCGTTTTGTAGGAAAAAAAACAGAAGCTCATATAAGCGAATGAGAAGGACAAGACACAGAATCGGCTCGTCCAAGACGGCCTGGAGCTCTTACCACGCCCGCATCTGAGCGCCTGTGCTCACTAAGGGGTTAAAAATTCTCCAAGAGGTGGGTGTATATTTAAATGACCCTTCTTCCATGGCACTGAAGGTGACCTTCAAAACACACATGCCACCCACGTGGGACGCCAGCTGACACCCAGGCATGCTGAGCAGCCGTGCTGCGTCTCTCTGACTTCAGGCAGGGGGCATTCCCAGGCCAGGAGCCTGCCGTGTGCCCTGCTGTGAGGCCCTGCTGCAGGGCTGGGAGGAGGCCCTGCTCTCCCTCTGGGTACAGCCACAAAGAAAGCACCTTCTGTGGAGAGCCTCCGGTCCCTTCCCACCTCCCTGTCCTCTGCCACTTCTCTGCATGTCCTTGGACCCTGGGGCAGCTGCCCCTCATGCCTGCACCCGGGAGCGGTACTGCAGCAGAGATGAGCGAGCCAAGCCCCTGCGGCAGGAGGCACACCTACCGTCTGGGTCTTTGAAGGTCAGCGTGATGAACTTGCTGGCCACCATGAACATGAAAATCACCCAGAAGCACGCGGCCAGCAGGAGCCACTGCTGGTGCATGTTGTCAGCCGCCAGACACTCAAGGACTCTCCCTGGAAAACACAAGCGAGAGAGGCCTCTGCCGCTCAGAGTAAATCCATTAAACCAGAGCGAGAAGAAGAACAGGCCAATTCCAATGATCGGAATCGATACAAATATTTAAGTCTTTCCCTTTACAACAGTGGGTATTGTGACTCTTTTGTACTTAATGGATAATATTGAAGGATCCATTTGATAATTAAATCAAATTTAAACACCCTAGCGGAAGACAGCATAGGCACAGGAGAGAATGCCAACCCTATTTGTTCTGGGAACCCAGGACAAGATTTTGCCTTTGCAGATTTGCCTCCGGACTCTGGTCTGGCTCTGGCTAATGTCACTGTGAGTTCCGTGAGGGCAGGAAGCAGGGGAGTGGCAGGAGGCTGCTGAGGACTAGCTCTTTGCTGGAGGCGATTCATGAAAGGTAGAAGCCATATCAAGACAGGCCACGTTGAAAGTCCTGCCTGGCCCGAAAGGTACGGTCACACCCAGAGCATCTGAAACAGCAAAGAAATAAACACCTGTGCCTCTCGCCAGGGGTCACTTGCCTGCAACGGTGTGTGAAGAACCTTGGGGGTGGGTGCTTTTCATGTTATCACAGCCCTGGAGTGATGCATGGGGTCCTCAGCCCGTCCCAGAAGTCACACTCTCCCAGAAGTCACACTCGGCTGCAGGGGACATTCAAAGAATCAGGAAGTCACTGCCAATTCTCAACAAGATGGAGAGAAAAAAAAATGTGTTTCATTTCTTCTTTAACAGTGTTTCTTCAAGCCAGATTGGAGGGTTTAATGACGTTGCCCTGGGCTGGCCTGGTGTCCCACTGAATGAGGCCAGCTGTCACCTCTGGGTAGAAGAACTAGTCCTCAACGCAGTGCTGATGGCAGATGAGCCCAGAGACAGCTTCCCAGCCCAGCTCGGACCCAGGGAAATAACCCTCCTCTCGTCCCTGCACCTGCGTCCCCAAACCTCACTAGAGTCCAGCATCGAAAACCCAAATTCCCTCCTCAGCAACTACCAGTGGTGATCTGGCCTCCCGCTGAATACAGTCAGGGACAGGCAGCTCACCACCTACCAAGCTACCTGTGTCTTTACAGGGTGTCTGTGAGCCAGACCCAGGATGTTTCCTGTGGTCCCCTACTAGGGTTTCCAGAATAAATAAATTTTAAAAAGGATTCCAGTTAAGTTCAAATTTAAGGAAAACAGCAAATAACTTTTAAAAATATATCCCAAAATATCACACCGAATATACTCATGTAACTCATACAAAAAAAAAACAAAACCCTCTATTTTATTGTGCTCATGTAGCAGGCCCAGTGTGTTTCCTGGGGGGGTTCCCAAGCAGGGTTGCCAAATTAGACAGATAAAACTATGGGGTACCCAGTTAAGTATAAGTATGTCCCAAGTACCACATGGGATATACTTACACTGAAAAAAGTTACTTGCTATTTTGTGAAATTTGAATTTAACTGAGTGTTGCAGAATTTACCTGGTGACATTCTGCAGCAAAGGGCTTGCCAAGTCCCCTTCCAGCTGCCAGGGTCAGCTGTCCAGTCTCCAGAAAGTCTCCCTCTCCTCCCCCAGTTCCTTCCAGGGGAAACACAGCACAAACTAGAGAGTTCTACTGTGGTTCAAACCCCCGCTCCACCACTCACTAGCTCTGGGACAGCCCCCTCTCTGACACCTGGCCACAACCTCCCAGGGTGACTGATGCAGAGGACCAGCACCCACTGGCCTGTAGCCGAGCCTCAGTGGACCAGGCTGGCCAATGCCTGGGTGCTCTCCGTGAGCTTCTGGTTCAATCCATGTCCTTCCAAGCAGTGGTGTGGCCTGCCCCAAGAACAGAAAAGACAGACAGACACTGGTCCCAGGTGACGACTCTGTTCCGTCCAGAGGAATCAGAGGCTTAGACTGTGCCCGAGGACATGGGGCCCTGCAGTCCGAGTCCACTGAGCTCAGCCGAGACCAGGCCACGTGGAGGAGTCCAATCCAGGGGTCTTAGGGCGTGCCCCATTGAGAAGCCTAGCTTTTCTAACAAGGGGACAATGTGGCCGGGGAAGAGTGCAGAGGGCACAGACAAGCTCAAGTGGCTGTGGGTGACTCTGAACAGATGGCCTGGTTCTGGGGTGTGTGGCTCACATTCTTCTGGGGTACGAGCCGTGGATAAATGAACAGGGGTGAGGGCACCACCCAGGTCTGCCTCCCACCATACACACACACACACACACACACACACACACACACACACACACACGCAGACGTGCTCACTGCACAGAGCAGGTGTTGGGGACTTTCAGCAATGCCCACTGTCATACCACTCTCTCACTTGTCCTGCGCCTTCCCTGTACACCTCCTAGGTGTCCCAGCCTGACCCCACCCCCTGCCTGCATGCTGGCTGGCTCTCGGGCTTTTAGAGTTGAAGGGTCTCAGCTTAGTGCAGTGGTGCACACCTATAATCCCAACGACTTGGGAGGCTGAAGCAGGAGGATCAAAAGTTGAAGGCCAGCCTCAGAGCTGAGAGAGACCCTGACTCAAAAAATTAAAAGGACGGGAGCTGTGGATCCGTGGTAGAATATTCCTGGGTTCAATCCCCAGTATTGAGAAAAGAAATTCTCGTCTTCTCTTTCCAATCTTCCAAAGTCTTTCCTAGTCTTCAGAGGGATCTGATTTGAGTCTGTCTACCCAGCTCCCTCCAGATGCAAGAGGCAGACAGGGAAAAAGAGCCTGCCCTGAAATGCAGGTGGCCTCCCCACTGCAGGAATCTGGTGGCTTAGGGCAGGATTCCCACAGCGCGGCGGGAAACCCAGAGCAGGACTATCCAGAGGCCGCTCTGCCTCCCCTGCCCTCGGCCAGGGCTGGGCGTGAGCAGGCTGCTCCTCTCCCAGGGTGGCTGTGGGTTCCCGCAGATCGGCTCTCAGGGCCCAGGGCTCTCCTCTATAGGACGAACAGCCACCTGCACGTGCACCAGTGTGTACAGGCTCCCGGGAGCTGCACCCGGCTTGTGCCCCCTCCACAACCACATGACTTAGGGTGTCACCCAACGTGTCCTTCAAGTGGAGCTTTCACTTTCTAAGAAGCTCAGTTTCCATCTAGTGAGGAAGCCCTTGCTCTTCCCAGTCCTGCTCGTCCACAAGGAAGGAGGACATCTGCGGGGCTCCCTCCTTCCTCCCGACCCTTTGTGGCTCATGGGTACCTTCCCCTCCCTAGGACGGTTCCCAGGCAGCATGGGGACTGCAGTGGGGACTTAGGATGCTAGGGTTTAGATATGATTTGTCCCCCAAAAGCTCCTGCGTGAGTGGGTGCAACAGGTGAAATGATGAGATTATCAGAGGTGTGACCCCATCAAAGGGTGACTCCGCTGACATGGATTCACTGGAGGTGAGTACAGGTAGGAAGGGCTGGCTGGAGGAAGCAGGTCACTGGGGGTGTGCCTCTGGGTTTATATTTTGACCCTGGTGGGAAGAGCAGAGCTCTCTCACAGCCTGTCCCTCACGTGCTCTCTCCCTGGTGGCCGCGTCCCTCCTGAGCTACTTCCCTCTGCCATGAGCTGCATGACCTCCAGCCCACAGCGACGGAGTCAGCTGACCAGGGACTGGGACTTGAAAACTGAAGCAAGATAAACTTTTCCTCCTCCAGGTGTTTCTCGTCAGGTATTTTAGTCACACACACACACACACACACACACACACACACACACACACAGTGACTAAAGCAGGATTTGGACAGCTTCACAGCACCGACCCCAGCCCCTGCTAACACTGGTCTCTTGAGAAGAACACTAGCCTGGGATCCTCACCAATGCCTCGTGACAGCCACCCAAGCCAGGCTACTGCCGGCCAGAGACCCTGGGTCCTGCTGCAGGGATCTGAGTTTGGAAACCCAGGGTAAGCAGGCCGCTCGCCATTGCGTGGAGAACAGTGGCCGGCTTCATCATCTCTCTGTGGGTCCAACCCCACTCTCCAGCACCTGGCCTGTCCACTCCTTCACAGAAGGCAGCCCCACCCAAGTGCGCTCGCTGGGCGTGGTCAGCATCCCCCCAGGGAATGTGAGCTTCTGTGCCTGGCACTCAGGGAGCCACAGTCACTATTTCCTGATGACTACAGCCACCGGGCAACTTGTTCGGAAAACTGAATTGTCCACAGCCTGCCAAGCCTCTGCCCAGGGATTCCCAAACTTTATAAAGCAGGAGGCTGCCTTATAGTCTCAAAATATTTCTCCTACCTCCACTTGAAGTGGTGACCTACTCACTGACTGAGGGGTTGAAAAATTATGGTGAAGCCCCAATTCCTTTATTATTTAAAATAAAACACATTAAAGCCAATTGTACAGATCTGAAGTGTCCAGAAATATTAATCCACAGAAAGGCAGCTGCAGGATTAAATGCATGATCTTATTTGCTAATAAAAATACATACACTGGATATATGTGTGATTATGTGATTATGCACACGCACAACCACACATATGTAATGCACAGAATAAAATATTAAGAAGATAATGACCACGTGCACACTCCTATAATCCCAGTGGCTCGGGAGGCTGAGGCAGGATTGCAAGGTCAAAGCCAGCCTTGGCAAAAGCAACTCAGTGAGACCCTGTCTCTAAATAAAATACAAAATAGGGCTGGGGATGTGGCTCAGTGATCAAGTGCCCCTGAGTTCAATCCCCGGAACCAAAAAAAAAAAAAAAAAAAGATAAGGAGAGGTCATTTTTTTTTGGTTACACATTTTTGTATTCAAAAATATTTTGCAGTACACAGATAACCGTCTCACAACAAAAACCAATAAAATATTTTAAGATGCCTCCTCTACCCATGTGCCCTGGTGCTATTATTTCTGTTTGGTTTTCCCTACCTCACTATTGCTAACCACAGCTTCTTTGCCACTTCATGCCATATGGGAAAGGAGGAGAAATATTTTCTCGCCAGGAAAAAGTGTGGTGTATCTGGATAGTTGGCAGATACATCTGTCTTCATTAGGTAGTTTTATTTAGTTGCAAAAAAAGATTCAATTTTTAAAGCCAGAACTATAGAGAATAATGTAACAAACACCTGTGTACATACCCTCTGCTCCAATGGTTTTGCTGGGCTTTTTTTTTTTTTTTTAAGGAAACAGTGTCAGGAGGTGGCTGGGCTTTCAATGAGGGACACAGGCCCTCTGGCAGAAGCAGCAGGCAGATTTTTCACTGTCTACATAAAGGCCAGGTGGCCTGGGGAAGCGGGAAGGTGACTTCATCAGGCCTGCAAGAAAACAGGACATGTGGCTGCTTCCCAGAGAGGCACAAGCAGGGCCCAGGCCTGGGGGCCTTCGAGTGCACGGTTTTGCTTGGTTTTTCTCCCATGATCTATAGTGAGAAAATTCACATATTCTACACAGACTCCAGTGAAAATCTGTCGAAGCAACCTGGTTAGAAATTTAGATAAACCAGGACTGGCTGTCAAGTCACACGCTGTGGGAGCCAACCAGAGAGCAGTGGGCAGAGGCAGCCTGGTCCCTCTCAGGACACCCACTGCCCTCGGGCAAGTCCCTTATCTCTACAGTGGACCACAAACGACCCTCGGTCATGAGCAGATGAACTGCATACAAGTTTAAGGACAAAGTCCACCGTGAAATTCACTTGTCCAACAGTCAAGGTGTCAGGGACCCACCACAGAGAGTGAGGTCCCACAAACACCCACAGTCCTTGTCCTTGTCGAGCTGGAACTCCAACGGAGAACCAGGAGTCAGAGCATCTACCTGAGAAGCAGGGCACGGAGCTGTGGAAGGGGCACAGTGCTATGAGAAGCAAACAGGGGACATGATCCAGGCAGAGGTCAGGGACCGTGGTTGCCTTAGGAGGTAAGGGGGCTGGGTTCGAGGCCAGGACGAGGCCTGAGCAACTCAAGGAAGCCGAGGAGCTGGAGTTTCAGGGCCCGGTCAAGGGCAAGGTAGCCCCTGGGGTCAGACAACACTGGGCCTGGCAGAGCTGAGTGGAATCGAGGTTTTCCTTGCATGTGATAAAAAGCCACTGAAAACTGTCTTACTGGAAAAGAAGGATGACAGTGATGTGCTCTGATTGTAAAGTCTGATTTCAACTCCTCTGGCAGCACAGTGGAACCTGCAAAGGGCCCACATCCACCCAGCAGTGGCCCACGTCCACTCGCGGAGGAGGGACCTGCCCAGGTCTCTCGAAGCCAGTCAAGAAACCAGTAAGAGCCACAGATGCTGCTACGGGGAAGAGGGCTGCGTCCAGCTAACCACGGTGTCATCTGCTGGAAGATGACACACAATCTGTGCTTCACATCTTCCTGATGGTGCCCAGCTTGATGTCCACTGCGGGGGTTCCCAGTCCCGGTTTTCTGTTAGAATCACCTGGCTGGTTTTTGAGAAATAGCAATGCCCTAGGCCCCAGGAACACCCCAGCCAAACACAAATCCCTGGAGATGGCCCCCAGGCGGGTGGTAAAAGCTCTGCTCGAGATTCCCAATGAGCAGCCTCCAGGGGAATGCAGGTCCCGGCCCCCAGCCTTCCCAAATTTTAATGCCAAGTAAATTTCCTGGGGATCTTGTTGAAGTGCAGATTCCAGGCTCCGCAGAAGAGCCCCACTCTCCCACTACCTTCCTCTGTTTTCAGGAGAATTGGCAGCGCCAGCTCAGCTTGTCAGAGAAGAGTCTAGTGACGTCCTCCATCCCATGTGTTCCAAATAAACAGCATCGCGAGGTTTAATTAGAATCTAAGGCCTTCCATCAATGTCCCCCTTTCACTCTCATTTCCAGCCCCCCCCCATCTAAGGGTAACCATACTCTGTAGGATGTCTGACCTTGGGTGGGGAAAAACATCATAATTTGCCCCATTTTCTAAGCAAAAAGAAAGGCATTATAAATTCACTTAGTCCTCGCTCCTCTAAGCCGGCTGGCTCTCTGCATTGTGTCCTTGAAGGTGGAAGTTCTCCATGGGGCTTGTCAGCCTCCCGGAATGATTCAGTGCAGGCTCCTGCCGTCTGTCTGCCAAGGGAATGGGGCCTGAGAAGCCCCCACCTTTCTCTCACAGCCAGGTGATAAATGGCCTTTAAAAAGCCTGACATTTTCTGTAATTAACTCCCCTTTGTTCAAGGAGCCAGGACAACTCCCACCGTGCCTCTTGCAGCTAATGGTGGTGGCAAACTTGAGCAGACTCATGTCCCCTCTGGTCACGGTATGCTGCCCCCTCAAAGAGCATCCGAGGCCCCAGGAGGCAGCAGAATCCATCTTCAGAGTTTTCCCACTTCCAGTGTTAAATGGGATTTCCACAGGTCAGGATATCGGGATCTGATACCAAGCCAGAGGGTCAAGATCTTTTCAAAGCCTTGAGACAGAACCATTGGTTAGTTACGGGAAAAGTCGGGTCAGGGAAGCAAGAATATAACTGAACCTACAAGAAGCCCTGATCTCTTTCCTCTCTCTCAAACAAAAGAAAACGGCACACATTTGACATGTTAGTAATTACTAACAGGCTTTGGTACTATGCCATCTTTTGACGCAAATCCTTCCTCCCCTGCGTTTTGAGAACGATACTTCGAATTCATTTTGCTCAGCTGCCAATAACATTCCTGCCAGGAAGGAGCTTCTCCCCGCTTGGAGTTGTCATCCAGAAGCACGAAGCCTTTCTTTCAGTGAGAAAGAGGTAGATCCCACCTGCCACGCCCTACTCTCAAGATGCATGCTGGCTTAGTAAAGGTTCTGCAAAGTCCTACAGTAACAAGCCCACTTAATTCTGCTTCAGCAGGTTTTTTTCAAAGGCCCTTCATTCATCTGGCAATATTCACCTAGTGCCTACTTTGCTGAGGACTGTCCTAGTTCCCCCTAGGACACAGCAACACACACCCCCTGCTCTCAGCACTCCATCCTGAGGGAGGCCTCTAACAAACAGAGTGACTGATGCGTAAGACCTTGGAGCCAACTGGGGGGGGGGTGAAGGTGAGGGCCCCCGGCGGGAGACGACATGGAGAAGAATGGAAAGAGGAAGGGAGAGAGCCTTGCAGAGCCCTTGGCAGAGAACATGGTTTGAATCCAGCCTGCCCAAGACAGGAAGGGAGAGATCCAGGGAGCAGTGTCTCAATGGCCCTTTGCTGAGATGGACTCCCAGGATCTACCCCATCTCACACACACCCTGGGCATCGCAGGCCCAGCATTCAACTTTAAAACACACCCAGATGCTAAAGGAAACTCGAGCAAAACAACAACAAAAACAAACAAACAAACAACAACAACAAAAAAACAACAACAACCAGGTAATGCACAAGGTATCCTGAAAGGACTACCAGGGCAGAAAGGGTCCAGACCCGAGGACAAGCACAATGGGGACGTTTCACCATCAGCCATGTCGTACTTATTTTGAACTGCAATGTATTACCCAATCCATAAAGTCACCAAATTCCACTGTAGCAAAGCACAGAAAGGCATGTGAATTTATAACAGAAAGTCCTATTACAATGAAGTATAGCAAATACCGGCACAGGGTTCACTGCACGCCAGGCACAGGCCTCAACAGGTGAGGATGTGCTCCTATTATTATATTTAAGGAAACATTTCTATGTGTATGTACATATTCCTACTCAAGAGTTTTAAGTTCCTTAAAAATCTCTATGCAAGCAAGGAGGCAATAAGAATACTGAATGATAGAATCTCAAATAAGTGATGAGCTCACATTCTCCTTCCAGTATATTCTAAGGTGGGGGGTGGGGGGTCACATTTGCTTGTAATTCCCTGCCTGTTACTGTATAGATTAATTTTTAAAATAATAAGCATCGTTAAAAGTTGGTAGGTCCACTTTCTTAACATTTGGTTTACACTTGGAAAACAGTTTACTACTTGGATTATTCAAGGGTATTTTGCAAAACAGGTCTCTTACAAAGCAGGTGATATTTGGATTTCTTAGTAAATGAATCAATATTGTAAATAATTATTTACAATAGTTGTTTAGAAGTCTTCCATGTAACCAGGTATGACAAATGAAACATATCTGTAACAAAAAAAAAAATCAAATACTATTCTACCGGTTTTACATGCTTCATATGGGGTAAAGGATTCCTGTACAAAATGATTGATTATTACAACATGAGATGTTCTCTGGATGCTATAGCATCTGGCAGATTCTAGACAAATGTCATCCTATGAATGAATAACTGGAAACAGGCCAAACTCATGGAATTAGATTACAGACTTAATTGAGTTAGCTGGCAAAATAAACATACAACTGCCTTGATTCCAAAAACTCAATGCAAAAATTAAAAGCAACTTCGTGTTAACACAGCTTTAAAGGCTAAGCTTCATATAGGCTCATCCACATGATTCCAGACCTGCATGAGAAGAAAACTGATGACTCTCTTGGTTCTGCAATCTCTTAAGGTCCTGCATTCGCCAATCTCCCCTGACTCTATTTCTGCCTCTCTCCACCCTTTTTACTGCACAACCTCCTCAAGCACTTGAAAATAATCTGAATATAAAACTGTAAATGGCCCAGGATATTTACAAATTCTAGTCCCTGTACAGTTTTGCAAGCACTCTTATTTTCATCCCAGGGAAGAAGAGAATTTTTCTCTCGGGTATTTAAGATTCTATTCTTCAGGGTCAAGAGCAAAGATGGAAAAAGGAATTTTCTTTTCATCTTGCAATTCCAATGCTGAGCCAAGATGGACTGAGTCCCAGATATACTAAGGGGTCTGTGTGTGAGTGGGGGTGGGATGGACGGGTATTTCTCTCCTCTTTTCTTTTTTAACCCAGCCACCTAAAAGGACAAGTGAGTGAGTGGTGACCAGCAAGACAAAAGTCTGAGCTGCCTAATTTTAAGAATGTCTGAGACATTTCTCACTCTGGCAGTTAAAACCGACCAGTGCAATAATCCAACTCCTCATGGCCCAAAGCCCCAGACTTTGGGTGTTTCAGACAAATAAACCTTTATGACAGTGCCACTTAGCTAACCAAAACCTGGCTGCACCTCTTCCTATGCATTGCCCAGCCCTCTCTTGCCTTTAGCAAAAACCTGGAGAACAAAATACGACAGCTTTTGGAAAACCTGGTTCATCTTCCCCAGCCAGAAGTGCAGAAATTGATGCCTCAACCTCCAACTTCTGACAGGCCTCTCCACTGTCAAAGTCAGAGGCTGGGAGCGCTCTGAAGCCCGTCTGGCAGGGCGCGTGCATTTCCAACCCATCCTTCCCCTGGCGCCCGCCTGAGCCGCTGCGCTAGATGGTGCACTTGGGGAAGGTTGCCCAGGTTCCTTCCTCCCTGCCTTCTCTCTCAGCATGCTCCTCAGACCCAGGTGGGGCATTCTCCTCTCCTTTCTACCCCCCAATGACACATGCAAATTCTCAGCTAGGGATAAAAGAAGTGAATGCAATGTGGTCCAACTCTCAGGAGTGCCGCGCATCCAGCATCCAGCACCAGGACGCCGCCTTATTGCATAATTAAGTGATGAAGGCTCCACGGTGAATTCCTCCAACTAGGGGGTCCTTCGGTCGCCAAAACACCCTGGGACGTGGCTCGCCAAAAACAAAACAAGAAAAAGAAAAAAAGACCCGGTTCGCCCCTTGCTCCATCCACCCCGGAGAGGAGGAGGGGGTCCGCGGTGCAGCGAGACCCAGCCTCCCTGCGGGTCCCCGAGCTCACCCTCCGCGGAGCCGCCGCTCGACGGAGTCCTCAGGCTCCTCCTCGGCCCCGGAGGCTCCTCTCCGGCCTCGCCGGGCCTGCGGGTCAGCGCGCGGGGTCCA